TATGGCGCAACCAAACCCTACATAAATATAGTAATTTTGGAAATATTTCATTGGTTCACTCATTTTAAAAAGAAACAAAGCAAAAAAGTATCCTTGTGGAATTTCCAAATATTCTCTGTTTTACAATCTGCCTTCATAAAACTATGACGGAAAAAGTTACGCTTGCCTTATTTTAAATAACTTTGAATGTAGTGAGGAAACCCTCCTTAGTGCCAAGAATTTAGTTTAAATGACTGACTTTATGGAGTAAGAGAGCCACAAAACTCTGGTCTCACTGAAGCCTTGCAATCACAGACTTATTTAGCCTGGAAAAGACTTTAAATTTGCAGTTGAATTTGATCTATTTAACACTGCCAAAATCAAAATTTTTCCAAAACAATTAAATTTCCTGTCAGTCTGAGCTATTCTTCTCCTTTAGAATTTCTTAACATACTAGAGCCACATAATTTTTTTTGGTTTTGCTTAAGATTAGGATTCTACAATTTAAAAAATACTCTCAAAATTATTTCTTGAAAATGCAATTTTGAAAATGCATTTTTTTAAAATAATGTGAACTAAAAAAGATTCATTAGATGTCATTTTAAAACAACTAGTGTTCCTTCCCTAGAAATGGACCAAGTAGCTTGCAGAAATTTTGCTGCCCTTTGCCTCTCATACTGAAAAAATAATGGTCAAACTCAACGAGGGAACAAACACTTCATATAACCAGAATTTTAAGATAGTATGTTGCCAAAATTGTACTATGTGAGATACCTAAAGACAAATAAAGCAAAGGGCATTTTATTATGTAACTAACATAGGAGCCAGAACTGCTCCTGTGCAGTGGCAAGTTTAAACTAAAATTCAATTAATTACATATATTCTCTATTTAAGCAGTGAAGATCAGCAGAATTTTTCTTCACAGGAAAAGAAAAATTTCTCTTTGTATTTTACAAAACAAACCTGTAACATAACATTACTCATTAGGAACAGACAGTTCACATTTCACTCTGTAAATGAATTACACATGACCCAGTGTGCTGCATATGGAACAAACTCAGCAATACTGTTTGCACTCCCTCATAGAAGTGCACAAGGGCCACATTAACTGGTTCAGAGCCACAGTGCAATTTTCAGTCAGAAAAGGTCTGTGGTTCCCAGAGCAAAAGCTTCCTCTGCCTCACTACATCACCCACTGCTGGTGAAAGTTAAATATTGGTGAGTTTCTGTTATCAATGACTCTGCAGTTATCACGTGGAGTTTTTGCAGCATCTCTCTTAGAGCAAGGAGGTGCTTCTGGCAGCAGCTGTCCTGCACAGGCCTCACTGCACAAGGCAGGGGATCACAGGGGGCACATGCCAGGTCCCTCCCTAGGGCTGGGCACAGACAGTGCTCTCTGCACCATCAGCCACTGTCCTGTAGCACTGGGACACAGCTGTCCAAACCAAATGGACTCTGGAACACAACGATGGCAAATGCCTTCTTGTTCTAAGCTCTACTGAAAGCTCCATGCACTCAAGGATCCTCACCCCTCAGCTACAAAACATGCCCTTCTCTACTATGAGTGAAGGCTTTTCCTGGTGAAGTGATTCAATGTGAAATCAACTCAGAGCACTCTTCTGCTTGGACAACTCTACTTTGCCTTTCCCACTGCTGGTCTTAATGATATTTTTTTAATTCCAAATTTGTGTGTGTTGGTGTGTGTTTATTTACTTTTGCTTTTCAAGTACAGATCCTCTAACAAAAACACAGACGTTAGCCTTTAGTGGCATTTGATTTGCCAATACCAAACCACACCTCCTATCTGCAGAAGTGCTAAAAACTCCTACAGGTTGCTTTTAGTTGAAATCAGCAGAATGAGCCTTTCAAATAAACATATAAGGAATCAGCAAAAGGACGAAGTACCTGACCTTCGTCCTTCTTACCAGTACCAACACGACACATGAAAGTTCCCTTCTAGTGAAAACAGATGTCTTCATTTCTGTTTGGATTTGGCTACAGATTTATGCCAAAATCTGAGGAGACTGCCACTAAATCATATGGTATTTGAAATAAAGATTTCAGTGCAGTAAAAACCTAATGGTTGGCCTCACCTACAACTTTATCGAGGTAACACACCTTCCTACTTCACTTCAATGCAATTTTTCCTACCATCTAAATAATGTTTGGCTTATCAGAAAATTTTTATTAAATGAATCCACATAACATTTTACAACTTCATTTGACTTACCAGAGGCCACTATTCTAGTCAAGAATCTGACACTAAAGTTTTCTAGTATCAAATAAGTTTAAGCCATGTTTGCTATGGTCTCCAGCTCAGGTGTTCCACAAATCAAAAAGGCGAGAATCTACTGAAGTCAAGGGTAAAACTTGCTTTGACTTCAGAAAAGGCTAGGATTAAAACAAGCCTAAACTTATGATTCATGTCAGTTGTATAGTTGTATTGTTTCAAATCCATTCCTCCCTATTTTATGCTCACAGTTCTTGGTTAGATTTTGGAAGGTCTGCAGATGCAGGGGTCTGGATGGTTTCTGCATCCCAGCAGTGCCCCAGTGAGCACACTGGATTAGCAGTGCTGGAAAACAGATGTAAAGCATTTCTAAGATACCCTCTAGGAAGACACTACACTTCACAACAATTATTTTACTGTCACTGCTTTAAGACCTCACCATATCTGGGACATTATTGCTCAAGTGAAATATCAGTCACGTGTGACATAGTGCATCCAGTGACATAAAACACAGAAAAAATACACAAGGCCAGAAGCCCTGCCACTATGCTGATTCACTCTGTAATTTACAGTCCATGCCACATTATTGCAAAGTTTATTAGGAAAACTTAATGCACCCTCCTAAAGCTTTTATTGTTGACTTTTTCTCCAAGTCCTAAGTGCAAAAGGAGCAAGTGCAAAAGGAACTTAGCAGGCCTCTGTTTTTAACTATCCCACCAGCTGTATCAAATACTAAGTAATGGCATTAAATGGAAAATGGGTATCTCAAACACTAGAAATGTTTGGAGCATGGATTCTGGAATCACAGTAGTTTACCAGTGCCACTGGAACAATTTCTTAAAAAAATGAAAGAGGAAAGTGGCCCAGAGTAACCAACAACATGAATGCACTAGATCTGAGAATGAATAAAAAAAATAAGTAAGATGCTGGGAATAAAAAGGAAAGGGAGAAAGGAGTAGAGTATGCAAATTCTTGTAGAGAGAAGACACAACTATTTCAACAGGTTACTTGGAAATGAAAACCTAAAGTTCAAATGTTTTAGCATAATTTTTGAAATTGCTCTTAAAGAAATCACGATGGGTACAAGCTGATGTTAGCAAGGCTTTAGATTATTATTATTATTTATAAAAGCAGTTAGAGACAAGAAAAAGATTCATCCAAGCACAGTAGATCTTTTCTCAGACTGCTCCTAAGGGTATTTGAAGGCTTTAATCTTTGCCATGCTAAAAGGGAAGGCTTGGAAGAATCATGATTATCCTTCCCAAGAAGCAAGAAGGCAGTCATAACAGTTTCCAAGGAATGGCAAAGCAAGACTGTTGCTAGCAAATCTGTGGGGAAGAACTGCAACGTACAAAAAAAAAAAAAATAAATAAAAAAAAATTTAAAAAAAGTTGTTTGCTTATTTTCGGTTTAAAATGAGCACATAAGTTTCATATCCAGTTTTCAACTTACTAAGGAGTCTGAAAAAACCCTAAGTAGTCAGCAGCTGCCACGCTACATCAAGGGAATTCTTAATGTTTACACTGTGATGTAGCTTTATAAAATTAGTTCAAGAAGGAAAAATGCTACCTTAGGATCAGAAAATTATTTTAAATATGACAATGAAATAGCAGTGGAGATCAGTTTTCAGATAACTTGAAAGTGCCAATTTATAGTTAGCACTTCCTTGGCTAACACTGAACTAGAACTTTGCTCTGGTAGTAACAACAGTAGTGAAATGAAGGATAAGGACTTAATCGTTTTGAGTAGCTGGGTTTTTTAAATGTAGCAGGTAAGCATTTTGCTTAGGGAATTATAACTTTTTCATTAGTTTTTGCATGACTTTTCAGATAGTGCCTTTAATAAAAAACAAGACTGAAGTTGTTAAAATAACCATTAAGAAGAGATACAAGAACCAATTAGAGACAGATTTGAAATACGTTATTTCAAATGTCAAAGCAATCCACTTTCCTTAAACACATATTTATCTAACCTAAGATTTATATCTAGGACTTTGCAAATTAATTTATACACTAGCCTCTCTATGAGCTGTGTTTTAAGACAACACTATATTTACAATAGTGAATTTCAACTATAATGTGTACACTAACTTGTTTCAATGGATTTAAAAATAAGTGCTATTTTTAAACTTATCATCAGAAAAAGGTTACTTTTCCTGTCAGCTATTGCCTGTAAGGACTACAATAGAAGGAATAGACAATACTCCTCCCTCATTCTTTTATGAATTATTTTACATGGGGTCTTGATCAATTAGAAAGAACAGAATCATGCTTGGCAAACATATCCCTCAACTGAAAAGAACTTAGCCTGAAATAGAAAATCTGTGGCAGTCAAAACACTTTTTAAATTGAGCTACCTATTAATGATGAACAACCTAATACAAACAGATCTACAATCAAAATTATGAAATTCTTTGCAACTTGTTTAGAGAGGAACCCGACTGGGTATGATTTCTAATGTTCTCAAAACACCAAGAATTTGTGGAGAAGCAAACAAATACATGAACTCAGAAGTTTCAGAAAACCACCACAGTGGAAATGTTTCACTTTCACATTTATCAATCGATCTAATGTCTGAGCACAGTGACATGTGTACAAACTGACCCGTGTGCTAATGCCACACTAATATAAATTACACAATAAACCCTGCAAACACTGAAAAGATAAACACTGATACTTCCCAGCTAAATTATGGATATACCTGTTGTAAAAATGTAATGTGAGATCAGGAGCAACTACACAAAATCCTGAACATCACAGTGTAAACCTGAGATTTTGGCAGTTTTATCAAAATGTCCTAAATTACTCTGTATGAATCACTAGTCCTCATGTCTTATTCATCATGTGTATTTGTTTGTCCCAAACAAAGAAAAATAGACAACTTTATATTTGTCCAACAATACATTAAAGCAAAAGTAATTAGGTATTATCAAATTAAATATCATAAATAAAAGGTATTTACAGTATTTTCTAATTATTAGACAACAAATAACCAATGAAATTGTGCAACAAACTTAAAACACCCAACATCAAAAATGTGAAGTATTACTTAAATCTTCACATACTGATTTTACAAAAAAAAATTATTAAAATATTTTAAAAATTCCATTTTATCTATTTTAAACAAAGAAATTTCAAAAATGTTTAAGACTATTAAGAGTTATCAATTACACAGGCACTTCACAGGTAAACAATCTACAGTACAACTGAAAAACATATTTGGCACCAACCTAGAAGACTGTAAAAACTCAATAAACTGTGTCCTTTTCTCACTGTATCCTGTTCTGTGTAATCACCAGACACTCAGACTCAATACTGGCAATGCTAGAAGTGCGTAAGTTACAATCAGGAGTGCAAAAAACAAAGAACGCAAATATCAAGCTTTCAGAGAGTGAAAGGAGATTACAAGTGATCAGTTGCACATCATACCATCGCTACATTTTTGTCTTATCTTTAAATCAAAGAATTGACTTGAAAAATGAAAGTGACAGGGGTGTGCTTTGTACTTTCAAAAGTAATTCAAACAACATTTTCAATGTAAAAAAAGAAATTCAGCATTTAACTCTAACACTGAGATGTTAAATGGCAGCTTTTAACTTCACTAGAAAGAGAATCTGATGCTACCACATTCTCTTTGTATATCCAATTACAAAAGAAAAAAAATAGTTATGTTCTTTTAATTGTGAACTAACTCAAAAGGTTTTCACACACTGCTCCAAAGTAAGGCTCTCTACAGCATCTGGACAAATTTTAGTTTTTGATGGCTTAGGTGTTCCTGTGTAGGAGGCTCAAGTGCCTGAGAGCAATCCTTATCAACAGAGCAAATGGGAAGTTGTCTAGCTGCCAGAAAGTCGTGTCACATGGAAGAAAGCTGAGATACTTTCAACGCAGGCAACTCAAGCAGAGCTTGAACTGTGAGGCCAACCTTCACCAGACCCCTTTCCTCCAGAATGTGATGAGGCAAGCAAAGTCTCTCCTGCAAAAGAACAAGGACATTTAACCAGTTCCATGCCTTTGTCCCCAGGGCGGGTAACAAACACATTCTCTGAAGCAACACACGCGTAAGGAAGACACTTGCAGAGAAAACGCCCTAAAAGTCACATGTGGTTCTCTACAGCAACAGGATGGGTAGAAACCTGTTATAATTACTATCTGTTTAAAGTGTTAAACTACGACAGTGTCAGAAGATACATAGAAGACTGCTAAATTCATAAAGTAAAGGACTTTACTTTCATAAGCAAAGTAAGAAAAACAAGCTAGTGGGTGTTGTTGGCTCAGTGGCCTTCTTCCTCCTTCCCCTGTTTTGCAGACTTATTACCAACCTTTCCCTTGGGATAACTTAGAAGTGCTGATAGACTCAATAAAGAACCATTCTCCAAGAAAGTCATCGTTCAGTCTCAAAATTTAGCACAAGTTGGACAAACTTCCCAACTGCCAGCTGATGTTACAAGTAATTCATGAGGTAAATCTCAGCACCTCTAGCTTCTGAACGGCCTGTAGCTCCACATGAGACAGAAACTACAGCAGAGCAGTAAACCAGCTTCTAATTTTATTCTTGCACTAAAGAAGATCAAGGGAATTTTTTTGTCTCGTAACATGCAGGAATGATTGAATTTTTAGGGTATCTCCCCTCATATAAAAGGAGGTAAGAAGATAAATTTGGGCAACAGAAGCACAAGTAATGGGTTGCAACTACAGCCATGCTAAAAAAGACAGCCAATCATTCAGCCTACTGACTTCTCTAAGTGCAGGACATTTCTTAGGCAGACTGAACTCATGTCAAAATGAGTTGCTAAACTCAAGACTTTCAAGTAATAAAACTTCACCCTCTCAAGTCCATTCCTTTGTTTAGATGATAATACATTTTACAAGGTTAGTGTTATTTCTACTATTAAGAACTGACTAGAAACCCATAAAGTAGCTTCCTCAAGTTCACCCGGTAAGTCTGGAATTTTTAAGTTCTCTGGTCAGTGTCATTATGACTACTGCTCCCTAAATAAAGCTCCCCCAACCCCCCAAACTCAGTATTTGTTGATGTTTTCTGTGCTTATTAATACATCAATAAAGCAATTAGTGTACCTGTGGAACGCCCAATTTTTTACAAGCATCAAGAAAGTTTTCAACATTTCTTCGGCACTTTGCCATGCTGAGTTTAGGCTGTGAAGACAAGATATTAAATCTTCATCAGGCATTCATGAAGGAGTACTTCTGATGCAAATTCATTTACAATTACTAAAACACAAGACACATTCTATGAAGACTCAGTAAGAGGAAAATGGTTCTTAAACTAAACTTCTGAGCCTCAGTTAATGCTTCTTCCAGAAAAACCAAAGTGAGTAATGTATCAAATTAATGTGGTAAACGTGAGTCACAATGTTTTATAACTGAACTTCAAAAGCTTGTTTTCATGTAAGATGTACCAAAAACGAGATAAATTATGTATGCCTTACCACTGCTGGCGATGGGACATGAATGCTGGCAACAGAACGCGGCCTTATGTGATTGGCTAAATGGCAAAGAACCACCCCATCCATCAACGCTGCTCCAATGTCATCTGGCAAAATTACCTTCAACCTGGATTCAAGATTCTAGGAAAAAGGCCACAAATAAGTTACTCTCAACATTAGTTAATTTTTCATTTTAAATCCAGGGTATTTTAAAGCATGTAGATGCTTAAAAGGAACATTTTAATACTAAAGTGAAATAAACAGAATAAATTTACACTTTACTCAGTATGAATATCCTTTTCTCCTTATAGGCCCTATGTTCCTGTTGTTTGTATTATTGGGTTTTGTTGTGTTTTATGTTATTTTGTGGGGTTTTTTTTAATGACACAACAACACACATTGAGAAAGACCTTCTGCCAACAATGACCAGAATACACAGCTCTCAAGCCCATAAAACAAACTCATTGCTCATAACAGGAAAGCACAGAACTCAAGGACAGAAGTGCTATCCTGAATATGTCATCAATGCTTGTGGGCAGAATCTGAGTGTTGAAACCATACAGTATTTTATGAGAAGGAGGAAAAGAAAAAAAAGGAAACACAACTGTGGGAAAGGCTACTTCACTTGTACAGATATAAGTTAAGCTGGCCAAGGCCCCACTCTTCTGTTGCAAAACAGAGAAGGCAAACAATGATTTCTCCCACCCCAACAACAAGACTTTACAGCTCAGGAAGTGAATCAGACAAAACAAACGTCCTTCATAGAAGTCACACCACAAATCAGCACTGCCCTGAATACCAGAGCAGCTATGATTTAATTAATTCTAACTGTTAAATGCCTTGAAAACAGAACTACACAAAAAAAATTACTAAAATTCTGAAATGTAGATCCCATTCATGACTATGAAATTTGTAGAAACTTTCTACACTCAAAAAGCATTTAGCCATTTAGAAAACAATAATCATTTTTCTTGAGATCTCAGGTCAGACACTAGCAAACACAAGCAGATTTCTTGTATCCCTAAGAAAATTTAAAACCTCAGAAAAAAAAATCATTTCACTTTCTTTTTTAAAAAGAAAAGAACCCAAACGAAGTCCTAGCTGGTATTTTGGTTTGACCCAAACCAAAATGTTTGGACCCAAACAAGTATCAGTGTAGCCTGCTACATGAAATTCCTTAGGAAGAAATACCACAACAGGGATGCCCTTGTACAACTGCAACAATCTGGAGGCCTTTAAAAAGAAGGTCTTTATTGTGGTACAGAGCAAACTAAATGCACTGCACCCATACAGTGAATGATGGTACCTACACTGCGAAGCTGTCTGATCTGCTCCCTTTCTTCCCTTAAATGTTCCATTTTCCTCCTCATAGTAAACCCAGGATCCACTGCACCATAGTCCTGGCGTGAGGCACGGCTGAAAGCTATCAAACATGAGGGAAGTCAATCAGCAGAATTCAGATTGAAAATATTCAAAAACTAAAGATTTGTAACTGAGGATAAAAACAGGAAAAAAATTGCACAACTTTTAAGAACAAATATATTTAAGCATCCTGCTAGAAAGATGCTGCCTATGAAGCATCTTCAAATAAAATGCAGAGATCATCTTACTTAAGTGTAAATGGATAATTAGAAAATATGGAGACTGAACTGACTTCAATACTGAAGTATCAGTATGGGGCATACAACTCCATCTGCACTTCAGGCACCTCAATCTAGCTTTGAAAGTATTTGCATTGTGTTTTATTTTTAATCAAGTACAAAGTCTTTAAGCCATCAAACCTTAAGAACAATTGTATACTGTTTCCTTGTTTTTTGACAGTGACTAAGCGTGAAGAAAATAAAGGAGTGGGGGAAAAAAGCTTAAAAAAAACCAAAACCAACCCCCCCAAAAAACCCCAAACATATCACTCTGCAAGTTGAGGAGCTTCCAATTATTTCTTTCCCAAAGCAGCTGTCTGTGCCTTTCCCAGTACTATGCAGTGATAAGTAAACTGAATGAACTGCTGTACTGGGACATCTGCTATGCTTACTGCCTCTTGCAGCCTGGGAAATAAACACGTGTTAGAAACAGCAGCTTACCTGACCTTGGTTTGAGACCAAATGGACCATGAGTGTTATTATCTGTCCTTTCATAATCCTGTTAAAAGAGATGAAGTCAGTTTTCTTCCACTCATTAAAAGAAGTAACTTTTGTTCCCATCAAGATACTGTTTAAATTATTCTTGCCTAAGTACAGTCCTTCTGCTTAACTGTAAAAGTCTTTTGAAAGGGACAGTATAAAACGAATTGAATTAATGTAACCTTACCACATACAGGTAAAACTCACAATAAGAAAGAAAAGCAGCACTAGATTATCTAAAATCTATTGCAAAATACTTCAAACTACTCCAAACCATTCTGTGAACAGAGTTTAAGCCAGCTGTAAGGAGATGCAAATATTCTTCTAATGTTTAGCATCAAAATATTTCTTAAGAAATATCTACTTCCAACTGTGAAGACCAGGTTTTTCTCATTTTTGTCATATGAAAAGAGAAATGCACTCAATTTCTTGCTATGTACATGAGATACCCTTGTTTCATTCCAGTATATTCTGGGACATGTTTTAATTCTGCTCTCTCAGGCTCCTTACTGACACGAGGTGGCAATGTTAGTGACATTTGCTTTATTTTGTGTGAAGCAGTGCAGTGCTCTCATAGTGAGACTCCATGCACAGCCACCCCTGAAGGAAGCTGGAAGGCTGCACCACAAAGGTGACACCCGGGACTGAGAAGGAAGAAACTCCTTGAGAAGTTTGGGTTCCTTGAGAACCTTTGGGTTCCTGGTAGCGCATAAAGTTCTAAACCATAAACTTCAAATCCCCTCTGTGACTATGTGCCCTGAAGAACAATCCTCCTCAAGGAAGGCCTATTAAATATGGCAAATCTGATTTTTGTTTCATTAGTATTTTCATCAGGAAAGACAATGGAGACAAAACAATGCATCTTTCCTCACCAGGCAAAAAGAAGAACTCTAGGGGAGATCAGAATTGCAAAGGTAAAACAAGTAGTAACAATCCGTCTCTAGTTTCTATCTCTTTTTGAATTTTTATGATAATGAAATATTTCTAATTGCAATTTCAAAGGAAACTAACAGCTTTGTACCTGCATGAAAACCTAGTGACAGTAATGAACACAAAGACATGTTTGTTGAATGAAAAACAAACCCACAAACTTGTACCTCAGACAACACAGGAGACTGTGGGGACACATTAGTATTATCACTGTCTTGCTAAAAAGAAATCAAAGAGATGAAATTATAAAAATGAAAATGATGATTTAACAAGAAACATGAAATTATGAAGTATACGAGACATGTAACATTTCTCAAGTATGCTACAAACTGGCAGCAACTAAATTTAAAAATATGTAAGGCAAGGAACCACTGTTTGCTGCTTACATCAAATATTAATTTTACATCACCTCTGCTTGATAAGTGAATTAATTTTGCTATTACCAAAGCAAGCAAATGTCCTACTGCTCCTCAGCAGGCAATGATGATAAATTTTTTTCAAATGAAGGAGTATAATATTTATTTCTGCTATGGCTTTGGAATGCAAAGTTAATTTGTTCAAAAATGACAAGAGAATAAATTTATTTTTTAATATTTCACACAATTACTACATCTCACCTCATCATTTTCATTTCCACTTGAACTCTTTCTGGAAGACTTATACTGCAAAACACACACAATTATTACTTTAAAATGAAAGCATGGTTTTCATGTGAACTAAAAGGCTTGCTTTCACTGAGATGATACTTATTACTGATGAAGCTGCTGAGAAAAAAGCCATGTTACAGAAACAAAGGAGCAAAAAAGAAACAAACCAGAAAAGAACATGACATTTCTAGGTGAGACAAGACCTTCATTAGTTGAAGAGAAGTGCATTTTAAAACTAAACACTTTTATAATGTGAATTCTGTGACAGCTGATCCAAGTGAAAAGATCTTAACGGCTAACATGAAACATTATTTCTTAGAAAAAACAATGCAACCTGTGAAAGCTACTTTTGTAATACGTTTTATGTGACCAAGATTGCTAACACTTCAAGAGACTGACTTGACATTGTAAAAAATTAAATTAACAAAGATTAAGGTTGCCTTTAAAACTTCAAAGGCTGATCACACCCTTTTAGGTATTTAAGACATTGCTTTTCCCAAAGGTCTGTCTGATTTTTTGTTTATTGCCTTCACCATTGTCCCACTTTCCTGATTATGCTAAACTGGAGGAAATTGAGGAATTGAAAGAAAAAATTTACAAAAGTGGTATTTAAAACATAAATGTATTTTATTGTCTACTGATCAAGTGTACTAAAAAGTAGGAAAAGCTCCATGCAGATCGAATTAAAAAGATCATCACTACAAAAGTCGAAGTTTGTGGGGTCTATGTGGCCAAGCTACTCCTCCTTACCTAGGCAGGCTAAGTAAGAAACAACTATATTGCCACTGGTTTCTCACAACACCAATACTGATTTTTTTTCCCCAGTTTGCCATGGCAGACAGGCTCTGTTTCAGTGGTTTATTGCCTTGGTTTTGGCAAATGAAACTATGAAACTGCGTGTTTTGTTACTGGTACAGGCTGTTTAATTCACTCAGGAGATCCATCTAGAGCTGTATGTAATGTCATTTCAGGCATCTGCTTCCATCACAGAGCTCTCAATGACTGGTACGTTATGAGGAACCACTTCTGTATAGGTGGCACAGCTCTTTAACCAGGCAAACAACTGAATTCTGTTTCCTTAGAAGTTTCTCTCTTTCTCCTCCAATGCTATAGCAAAAAATTAATTTCAGGATGAAAACCCTGGAAAGAGGATACAACTCCATAATATCTTTGGGGAAAAAAAGAGGCTTCTGTAATCACAATATATCTGAACTGTATGGCATGCTCTGCTCTCCCAAGAATTTAATTTCTTTGAAGTTCCCTGGCATTTCACAAAGATGTTTGATGGCAAAGACCCAAGAAACTAATTTCATAAGTTACAAATTTAATTTTAATTCAGCCTAGCACTGCTCAGAATTCTCCTATTTCTCTACATAGCCCAAAACAAGTATTACCCAATGCTGCCAAAACTTCCCCTCTGTTCTGCAGAAAGCAGACACTGGCACCTGCTGACTGAGGGTGCACACTACAGCAGCAAAGGAACAGAGGGAAATTTTTCCTTCTGAAATGCAAACTAATGACAGAAGACCCAAAAGGCATAAATCATTCCTAGAACCATGCTGCAAAAAAAAAAAAAAAAAGCAGTGTATATTTTTTTTGCACTAAAAATAAGTAAATAAACAGCTAAATAAAAAATCCTCCAAATAGATGGTGAAGGACTAATGACAAGAACAGTTTTTGGTTCTGCCAGAAAACAATAAATTACTTAATTTTATTTAAAGGATAAACAAAATCTTTGATTATATTTTTTTCCTCTTGATTTTCCTGTACTCTCAAATTATCCTAAATACATACATATATATATATATATTAATGAAAAGAGTAAAATAAAAAATTACACGTTACATGCAAATTTAAAAGCGTCACAACCTTTGAGGATTTACCTTTACTCAGTTTTATAGTTTCTTCTACTCTTATTGAAAAAAAAAGTGTCACCCACCCTCACTCCCCCCATTACCTTGAAATACTCTTTTCTAATTTGTTTACTTCTTCTTCTTTCTTCATTCTGCCAGATTACTGGCTGTGTTTCTGGCCAATGCTGCTCATCCACTGAATCCTTCTGGTTTTCCAGTGGCTATAACAGTCAGAAATACTTCTATGTAAAATGTAAATATACCTCTTGTGTATTAGCATAAATTATTAGGAACTACAATTGTTAGTTGCTTGCCTGCCTCAATCTGGCTTTATGACCTGAAAGTTTAACAGTCTTAATGGTGATTCTGATAGAAACCACTTATTTCTTTTCAAATTCTAAAATATATTTCACAGAAGAAAAAGAATCTATGAAATAATTATTCAGAAAATAATACTTTTCAGCATTGAGACTAATTTTTTAGGTAGGTTAGGAAACCACCAGAGGCTGCCAGAAATACTCCAGTTTCAAGTGTGGTTAGCCACTAGTACATCTAATTTCTCACTATGAATAATCATCACACAGAGAAAGGATGGCTACGACAAGACAGTTTGAGTATTTGTTGGCTGTTCCTATCTAAAAGATTATACACTACAACAAGCTGGAAGAGAAATCTCTCTTTCAAAGTACTGTATTATGCTACACACACTGAGGAGACAGCTAAAGTAGATTGATTCTTAAATAATACTAAATATATATGATTGTCTACTTTATGAAAACTGAAAGAAGACAATCTGAATGGACTGTTTCCTAAGGGTACCACAATATTTTTGTTTCTTCTTAGAAGAATATGAGGGCATTTAAAGCAATTGCAGATAACTAACAGATTGAAGTAATAAGGTACTCTCTACAGTTTAGCTGTAATTTTGTCATATCATACAAGCTTTTCATTGAGGTGTGGGAAATGAAAGGTCTACATACTTCAACCCATCTAGAAGTTGCAGCTAAAAACCAAACTGAACACTATGGTATATTACGATATATATAATTGAAATTATATATATATAATATAATATATAATATTAATACTATATTATATTCTTATTCCATATAAATACTTTTATATGGAAAGATATACTAAAGATATACTATATAGGTAAAATTTATGCCCCATTCGTTTCAAGACCTTAAAGCTGGTACCCCTTGCTTTTAAAACAAAAGGCCTCCATTACAAACAAGTCAAATGGAGGCATAAGATCTCCAAAGGGTTTATATTTTCCACCACAATTAAGACACCTTCAGGAACTATGTATATAAGCAACCACACAAATGCATAAAAGTTTTCTGCCCTAGAGACAAAATCAAGGAAACAATAACGAAACCACTCAAATATGATGCCACCACATTTGCATTTGAGTATTTACCTGCCAGCTGTATGGGGACACTGGGGAATTCACTTCATTTGCTGAGACACTAAAAAGATGAAAGGCATTATGAAGCACACTACTTTTTTTGTGTACTTTAAAAGCAAGTTGCTTGAAAATATCAAAAAAAGTGAACCCTTAAAAAGTGGCTTTTCCACAGCACTACAGTATTTTTTGGCCATCTGCATAAGATGCCACAATGTGGCTTAAAAGTATGACCACAACTAAAATCTGAAATCGTATTTCACTCTCCTTTAACATAACTTGACAATAGGTCTTCCACACTACAGTACTTTATTCAGATAAAGCTTCTTTTAAATTTTTTAGTTTGTTTTAGTTTTAAGTCTCAGAACTGCCTGTTTCATTAACAAAAAAGGAAAAGGCAGATTTAATTCTCCCTGGATCACCCTATAAGGTGATCACAAAGGTGTACAATTGAATAAGTGGCAGCAACTCATAAAGAACCTGGAATGTTCCAAATAACAGCTGCAGCATGAGTCACTCAACCACAGGACACATGTGCAGCCAGCTCTGCAAAACCACAGGTACCACTGAGAGGGGAGACAGCCAAAATAGGATGAAGGAGCTGTCCTAGGTCAAGATCTCCCCTGAAGTGTAGCTGAACTGCAGAGATCCCTTCCCACCCCACTGCTATCCAACTCTATCAGCAGTTATAGCTTCTTTCTCCCCAAACTGGGTTCTGGACATTACCCAATTCCCAAAAGACAAGGCTTTGGGTATTTTTGATCATTCATGGTTTCTGGCTTTTTTTTTTCTTTGTTTTTTGTGTGGGTGTTGTGCTTCCTTCTGTTTTTTAATTCAAAGAAAAAGCCTAAGTACAGCTCCTGCAGAGAGTGGATTCCTCAGTAACACACCCTCCACAAACAATAAAGGTGTTGTAGGCTGAACTCCCAGCAATGCTTTTCCAACAGCTCTTAAGAGCACAAAAGGACTGCCAAGGAGGAAAAATTAGATGTCTAAGCACAGCTCCAGTGCCACCTTGTGTAACACAGGATAAGACATCTGCTCAGCACCATCACCTATGGGAGGGGATACAACCTTCCACACTGGAATTAGAGGTCTGAAACATTGATGAATTGTTGCCATAATGAGACCTACAAATTTTTTCTGGATGACATCAACTTTCCTAAATGCTCAGAAGAACAGATTTTCTTTTTAATCTGAAAGAAAGAAGCTCAAGAATAGATTACTCTTGTAGCTTGAATTTCATCATGAGCCAAAAGCATTATAACAGAAGATGGCAGTCACAAACGAACAAAAATGTAACTAATAAAAGATTGAAAGCTGTGATACATTTAAGTATATCAATACCATTTTTCAGATTCCATTGGTTGCTTTGGCCTGTTCCTTGTGTTTACTGAAACTGAATGATTAAGAAGCCTAGGAAAAAAAAAAGTATTTAAAACAATTTTCTTAGAATGTTACTTTCACTGCATCACATTTCCTGTAAATAAAAAAAAAGTTTTGTTAAGTGGCATCTTCCATAATACTAAAATGTGTGTGTACATATATGAAATCCAAGCCCATTCCTGCTTCCATTTGAATTAAGAGTATAATTTACAATTCTTCAAGTATTCCAAGTTTTGTATTTTAAAGTACAAAACTTGATGATAATTCAAACCAAAATGAAGTCTCCTCTTACTTTTCTGCCTAAATAGATACCATTTCAACTGATCTCACATTTGTGTAAAGTCATGCTGCTCTCAACACAAAAGGCTCCACTTTTCACTAAAATTAGAAGATGAAAGACAGTCAGCCTAAAGCAGACCAGAATGCATACAGAGAGACTGAGAACAAAAAAAGTCAGTCAGGAAGGGCAGATGAGAAGGTGACTGAGAAAGAAACACCACAAGTGCAAAGGAAATGCAGGTAAAAAGGTGAGGTGGAAAATTGAGAAACACAAGCTAAGAATTAAATGAAAAATTTAATGGCGAATTTAATGGAAATTCCGTTTTTATAAAGGGTAAACAGCCAAAATAGCCTAACTTACAGAGATTCACAAAGATGTTTTCATCTGGAACAAATGCATACCACATGTGTGTGTGCACAAGCAGATGATACAAGCTATTATGGATGTTTTAAGTGTTAAAAATAACAAAACTATCAGTAACACTTAAAACTGAATGTTTTCAAGTACGCACCACCTTGGACTTAAGTGACAAATTCTGAACTCTTGAAGGTAGCAATATTATACTTTAACACTGACTTCATGTGCAGAAGTGTGATGGAATTGTATTTACACAGAACTGTATCGAGAACTAGAATGTACTATGAATCAAAATACAACCAACTATTCAGTGGAAGACAGTAAAACAGTAGGCCCCTTTTTGTATTCCTTTACCATTACGTAGTGCAGCACAGTTATTAACTTTAAATGACTGATGATTTTTCAATCAAACTTCTCTGATTACTGTGGTAACTTTGAGCTCAGTAATCTCATTTGCAGTGTAAACCTCTCATTGTGTGACCCTCAGTTTAATGGGGTTATGAGAAGTTAAGCCTGTAAACCTGTAAATGTCCGTAAAAGTTAAAGCCTGTAAAAGTTAAGCCTGCAAATGTCTGCTACACTCAGTCTGTAGCATCTGCTTCCTATATTTTTTGTTCAGAAACTAAGTTCTGAGGGTGCATTCCAGAATTAATTTATACTACAGCCTGAAAAGTGTAGGCAAAAAAATATTCAGAGCATGGGTTATCGATCCAGAATATAAACATGCTATTTTAAAGTCATTACATTTGACAGAGAACCCCTATTTAAACTAGCTTTGTCTTCAACTAAAAGCAATGAGAAATTCAGTGAGACTTGATATCAAGCAACAATTACAAGTAAAAAAAATTAGACTCAGTTTGATGAAACACTTGCACCAAAACTGACACGTAGTATAAATGAAATGACTGTATATAATACAGGCTATTCTTTTTTTATACTTCTTATATGAAATAAAAGGAAAAACTATTCAAGCTAATTCTAACATATATACATACACTTTTCAGATACTTTTCACAATTTTTGTGCAACAAGTATACAATTAATGACTGAGGTTATAATGAACTAAAATTATTTAAACAAAGTATCTTTTTATACTTTCTAAAACAAAACCAGTAATTTTTGAAAGTTCCTGTTTAAAAACTGAAAAATATTGATGGGGAAGCAACAGCAATTTCAGTATCTGACGTGTTGCACCCACAGTTAAAGAAATCTTAATTTCCTGTGGAATAATGAACTTGAAAGCATTTAACTAAAGAAAATAGTGAAGAAAATTAACCTGAATTTACTAAATTGCAGACAATTGCCAAAATAATTTGTTCAGATGGAAGGGGGTCGGGGGAATCACTGCAGGTATGTTAATTACTGTCTTCCAGGAAATACAATGCAAAGCAATGTAACATGAAAGTAGAAGTAGTTCAAGCTCAGAAGTTACACTCAACTGTGGTGGTTATGATCCAACAATTTCAGCAACTGTTGCCATTTATCCTATCACTCATTAAGTCAAAACCTTTTATGGTACAGGACAATTATTGGGCCAAATACCGATGATCTGCCCGATTCGCGAACTAAGAACTTGCATAGGACACCTGTGCTAGAACTGCCATACAGATCACACCAATTCTGTTGTTACAGAGGTAGCACACAAACTAATCCTTTGAAAGGGTTCTAAAACTCACACAATTTTAAAAATCTACATTACTCAATATCACATGTTTATATATTCTACTTCTCTGTTATGCAAGCACAGCATCTAATCGAGTAGTGGTTTTGGTTTTCTAATTTGAGATTTTTTGGTTAACGTACTAATTATGTTTTAGGTTTGGCGTTGGCTAAATTTTTTTTTTTTTATGCGTGCTTCACAAAATCACAAACCTTAATTAATACAACAATGTGAAAAATCAAACATTAATTAGTCCTTATTAGGTCCAAAAGAGGCCGCTCAGGTTTTAATAAAAAACTATTTTTAAAAATTTATAAAAACTACTACAACTCCAAAGTGCTTGACCAGATGAGAGAAAACGGCAGTGACAAGACCAACAATGATACTGGAAAATATTTTCTCAAGTTTCAGGATTTAAAGAGTAGAATCTCTTCTCAGCCACTTATACTTTCAGATTTTGTGCAAACATAGCAATGATTAATGGACACAAATGAAGTGAACAATGGCAGTGCTATTTTAAGGCTTGCTATCTTCAAGTTTAGACAAGCAAGGACTACCTTGAATCTCTAAAGTGTAAAAAGATACTAGAAATCTTCTGCAGTGAGACAAAGATGATTTATTTTCAACTCGTTCCAGAGCAGTCCACTAACTTCATATCTGGCTCTGCTTAGTGGCTGAAGCTGTGCTCTTCTGGATTAGACAGTTCTAGGAAATCACTGCTGCCAGGTAAGAACCCAGACTTAATTTTGATGCAAATTCAAACAGGCTCATTTGGAACCAATGAAAATTATTTTATCTAAACTACCCTACTGTCTTTTGAAAAAGACAAGGAGTATCCAGACTAAGATACAGAGCTTCAATTTATAAGGCAACAAGGTCTGAAATCACTTCATTCAATACCTACATGTTTTGAGTATAGTCTATACTATACTCCAATTTTATGTTACTGGTGAGGTTTGCATATTACAAATACTTCCACCACGGGTCAAATGCAAAACAAATTATCTCTGGTCATGCTAACTTGAAAATGATCACTTTAAAACCGAAGTATCAAACAAACAACACAAAAACACCGAACAAACAAAACCCCAAAAAACTACAAGCACCACTTTGCCTGAGGTACTATATCTGAAAAATAAAAGCTTTGAGGTTTGGACTCAAAAGTATTCTTTGGAGAATTGCCTAATTAAGTATTAATATTTCACCCTAAAGAACATGTTGCAAACTGTTTTTTGATAACAAAACATCTTAGGCTAACTCAGTCAATCCCTTTAACTCTGTTTTTGCTCAAGAAATGGCCAAAAGCATTTCTGTTTATACCTTGATGCACGTCCTGCCGCCCTGGTCCTCTGGAAGAGCTTTTCACTGAATGAAGTTCTATAGCTTAGTGGCCTCCGTCTGTATTCACATTTCATGCACACCAAAGCCAAAGACGGAAGGAGGAAGCAGGATAGGTTGATGGCAGAGGACAGGGAAGTCATTAGCATAGCAAGCAAAAGGAAAGGAAACTGCATAATATTACAAAAACATACACTGAACAAACAGAAACGTGATTAGTAAGGAATTATTTTGTGATGCTTAACTCCCCTGAAGATTCTGTTCAGTGATTGACCATATTTTCCACAAATAAGCATAGAAATATTTTCACTAAATACTAAATAATATTTTTATTGCTGGTTAAAAAACCTCATGGATTCAAAATCAGGCTAAATTAGAGGAGATTTTGAGCTCATGTACCTAAAGATACATAAGCAAGCTTTAAAATATAAATGCTAAACTAAGAAGTAAAACTTAAGAACAATTAAGGTTGCACATCTGCATAATTCAAGACAAAGCAGAACAATTAGCAAGACCATTGCATGAGGGCACAACAACATATGACAGGTAAAATTCAAGCTGCAGTACTTCAGAAGAGGAGTGGCTTGGCATTTCACATTATTAGAAAATCGGGAAATACGTAATCAAACAAGAGCTTCATGCAACATAAGTAACCATCATAAAAAAACCTAATATAAGAAAAACACCCTCACTCTCTCTTCCTTAATAGGAGAAAATTATGCATTCTGAGAATACATTATGCATACTGAGAATACACTAGCATTAAGATTTCATTCTTACTTTTCCCCTCCCTTTGAACAACAACCAATTCTTGAATGCAGGGCTTGGATTTCTAAGCAAAACCTCTTATCTTTCACACATGCACACTACTGTTACTATATTTACCTAACATAAAATGCTGGTGAGTTTTTAAGACCCTGCAATTCATAGTACTGGGACCTCAGTTTCTTTGAGGGCTTCATGACTATTTCAACCATGTTAAAAACAAAGCAGCAGAGTCTCATAATTACACCGAAATTTGAAAGAAAATAATACTCAAGTTGGTATGAATTTACATCCAGTACTGTGGGATACTGAATGAGTGTTATGAACTATTTTAGTTAATGAACTACTATTAAATACAACTTTCACCTCTCAGAGGAGCTTACTCTCCAAGTACCTCACAGCATTTGTCTGCTTGGTAAAGGAATTGTTCCTATGCCAGCCTGGCCACTTCCATGTGATTTCAGCTGTTCCTTCCTGTTACTCATTTTACACAGTTGCTAACTTGTTCTATTATATTCCTTTAATCTGGCTCCTTTCATGGCTCCTTTTCAAGAATTGTTCCGTTGAGATGCCCCCAATAAAGCAGAGAAAGGCAGGTAGTTGAAATTATTTATTTTTATACATAGGTATTGTCATTTGACAGGATAATGTTCAAACAAATTTCCCTTTCAGTCCACAGGATATCAACTGAAGGAAGTACCACCTGAATTAGCTTGTATTGGAAGAAAAATAACCAGTCACAAACAAACTGTAGGGAGGCTGTCTAATTCAGACAAGAAACACAGAACAGGTATCTTAGCAGAGTCTGTCACTTCACTCTTTAGGAGCTGGACAAAACTGTTCTCAAAATAAGGTGTCAAAAGCTTTTGGGTATAAGAGAAGTTAAAGAATAAATTAATTGTAACAGGAGTTATTTTAACTAATATTGTTATTACCTGTGTTTTTGTTCCTGCTGCAATAACTGAGCTGCTATTTTTCTCAAGTCAGTCACTTCTTTGAGTTCATCATCATCTTCAGCCAGCAGTTCTTTGTGACGTCTGAAAAATTAAATATCAGTGACCTGCCTGACTTCAGTGAAGCAAGACTCAGAAATGGCTCATTATGGCAATAACTAAGCAGTGCATCCTGTAAGCTTATCTCTGTCCAAGAGGAACACTGTTCAATATGAGAATTCTTTCTTCCAGATGCAAGGAGCTTAAAAAAACCCCACAATCATCCCTTCCACTATGTAAAATCTAATCAAAAAAGACGAAGATTTACCTTTTTTCATCTCCCCAGTCCTCATTTTGTTCTATTTTCTGGGATTTCTGAGGATGTTTTCCCCGTTCCTTCAACAAAATGGAAAAAAAAAATTCGCATGGAATGAAGGGGGGAAGAAAAAAAAAAAATCATCAAGGCTACTGAACAGTTCTTCTTTTGTCAGTCTCCAGTACCTTGACATGGGAGAGCAGGGGGCCAATCTGTGCATCTCCCTGCTCAGGAAGAGCTCCCTCCTCTGTGCTGGGATCAATGTAGTCAAATGCCTCCTGGTCTAGGGAAGATTCATGAAGAATAGGAAAGTTATTAAAACGGTTCTCTTGACTATATGTCATTCCTGAGAGAAATAAGTACTTATGAAAAATGTCAAATAAAGATAAAACATAGAAATTATGTCTTTTTGAGAAATAATTTTTCCCCTTTTCTCAAGCCTTTTCTGCTTGTGGTTATAACATTGTTTTCTGAACTGATGAAAATGCAATACCAACACATGATGCTGTAATTTTGTACCATTTTCTTACATTAGATTACCTAAGCAAAGTATCTCTGTTACCTAAAATGACAAATGCACAACTGGCATTACCTTTCTGTGGATCGAGTTTACTTCCCATTACGTGATTGTCATTCCTTAATGTCTGCTCCCTTGTTGATTCTGATACCTGGGAGTGAAGGCTGATTGTATCATCATCAGATGGCTGCAAAGACACTCACATTTAGTGCAGAACTGACATGGAAATGGTATTTCTCTATGATTTCTGATATTCCCATCATATCATATTAATTAGAATCAACCTTAACCAGAAAAGTTTAAGAAATATATAAATAATTTGTGTCTGATATGGCAGTCTGAGGGTTTAAACTAACCACACACATACTGAAAGAATATTAAACGCAACTTAGTGAGGTATTTCTCAAATGATTAAAAATACAAAGGAAAAAGTTCTAAAAAAATCAGAAATTACAAATTCAACAGTGAAAAAATACTCACTTCTGTAGTGGACAACCTTTTATCTCCATTATCACTTCCAATGCCAGAATCTGGTCCATGGTTTTTATTGGGATAAAAGTCCTCCATGCTACGTTAAGAAAAACAACACACAAAAAACCCACACAGGAATGAAAGAAACAGTAGTTTCAGCTTCCGTAAGAAAATAAGCATCCTTTTTAAAATATGTTCTTCTATTCAAAAACCCCACTACTCACCTGTCTGTGAGTGGCTGGGAGGGGATTCGTTTACCTAATGATGGAAGATCTAAAGAATCCGGTTTTTTATCTATTCTGAGGCACGCCTGAATACTGAGGAATTTAAATATATGTACTTTGCCCTTTAAACATATCTGTTGGGAAACACAGGACAAAAAGAAGTCTTAATTACACAGCAATGTCTGCTGAGAATATACCCCAAGAAATACCTGCTGCACTGCATTTACAGCCGTAACATCCCAAAAGGAGAAATACAAGAAATGCAGCTAAAAGAAAAGAAAGCTTGATTGGTATCACTTTTAGAACAGCTTCCTCTAACATCCTAATGTAAATTTCTGTACTCGTGTGCTTTAATACTAACCTGTGCTGGTGGTATCTGCATTGGATTGTTATCCAAAACTATAACTTGTAAGTGACGTAACTTTCTGTAACAAATGGGAATTTCTGTAATTTTATTACAAGAAAAATCCAGCTTTACCAAGGGAAGGTCTCCTAATTCTGCATTCAGGAAAAAAACAAACAAACAAAAAAGAATCAGTTATCTTCTTAACACTTTACCTAATTTGCCTACATCAATGGAAAGAAGATGAGTAGCTCACCATCTGGCAACATATGGAGATTATTTCTTCTTATGTTCAATTCTCTAAGTGACTGCAATTTTCCTATTTGCTGGGGAAGAACTTGAAGTTCATTACAGCTAATATCCTAAGAAAGATATAATTAATAAATCAACTGAACATCTTACATGAAGTTACACAGAGGAATACTGCAATCAAAACTATTATAAAGCATACTATAATAAAAAAAAAGAAATCCGATTATCTTGGATTTTTCATGGAGAAGATATACCATAACAGATCTCGCTGTTTTTTAAAAGTATTTAGTGATTCCAGAAATTCAATTCAAAAAGTTAAATCAATGAATACTGTAGCCTAGGAATCAGGAGTTCCTGGTGTATCTCCCGGATCTGTCAAAAATTTCTCGTGCTATTGCTGGCAATTGACTGGCATGCTGCTCCTCTTTTAAAAACTCCTTTTCCTTAATAAACCTTTACTCAACCCATAAAACTAAAAAATGTACAGACAGCAATAGCAGGCTCACCATATTTTCGGATACAAGCACTAGAGGGTGACAAAGCTGCATCAAGTGAACACAGACTAAAGTTATTTCTAAGACTAATTTAATATTCATTTATGTAGACCAGAGTGATTGAACAATCACAGAGTCTTTCTAGACTTCTTATTTTCTAAATAGGTGTATCACAGGTGCTGGAATGAAAATCTCTTTACTGTGTCCTTAATCATCATCAAACATGCGTTGTGGGTTTGACAACCTTGAAAAATAAACTAACTAAAAATATCAGTAAAACACAGAAACGTAATTTAAATTTTGTATTCTTATATTTTTAAAAATATTAATAATTAATTATACTGAATATATAATACACATAGTGCTTCTAAGTGTACTTACTACAAAGATGCACAGTTGTACTTACCAACTCCATTAGATCTCTCAACTTTCCAATTTCTTCTGGAATGGAGACCAGCTTGTTATTACTGACAACCAGAACTTTCAGTGGAAGATCAAACAGGTATTTTGGCAATGTTGACAAAAGATTTCGACTTGGAAGCAAGAAAAAGGGACAAGCAAGGCTGGATTATAATATCTTTTTTATGAATATTGTACAACTTTTCTCCCATCTCAGATGACTTTCTCCACCTATTACAATTTCATCTACAATATCTGTCACAAATTCCTTGTCAGCCTATTTCAGGTATAGGACATTAAGATCCCCATTTCACATGACAGAATCTAATACCAAAACGTACAGAAAAATCTGTTAAAAGAAATAATGTTTGCTGCTTGCTTTTACCCTGCTGATAGAAAAACCTTCAGAAGCCCCACCTGATCTGAGAGTCTGCCAAGGCAGAATTTCATATAAGGCCACTGATTCTCATGCCATGTTATTGTGTCCCTCCTGAGCCATCACAAAAAGCCCTCAACATTGAATTATTTTGCTGAGCAAAAGGCTAGAAAGTAAGCCTTAATTAAAAATTATTTCTTCTCTGCATATCATTTTCCAGCTGTATGCATGTACACCTGCTTTGTAGGCATGAAATACACTGTTATCCACTGTTACTGGATTTATACTGGATCTATATTGAAGAAACTACCCATATTGATGGACTTCCACTGCCAGAAGCACATAAAATGTTTTTAATAAGGTACATTCAAAAAAGTCATTGGAAAACAAGCTTGTTCAGATGTGATATGAAAGCAATTCTTTTCATGTATAAAAGTGAAAAACAAATATCAGTAATTGCTGTTGATTTAGGTAGAGTTAGCTCTATTTTTGACCAAAAAAAAAAATCACTTAAGTGCTAATACTTGGGTTCATACAACATTAAGAAAATACCAGAAGTTTTAGCACTTAATTGATATGTATTCAGAGTACTGTTTACATAACCTCAAAATTTTGTTGGTTTTTTTTACATGTTTTCTCCTTTATTACAGTTTATAAACGCAAGATTACACCATAAGATAAAGAGAGATTTCTAACAGTACCTTTATAAAAGCAACGTATTCATTCTGTTAAATTCTAAAGGAAAATTCAGATAATGCATACCTATATAAATAAATTCTCTTTTTATGCTGCATTTCAGGCAGATATGCCAGGCTTTTTTGGGTGAAGGCATGAGAAGCAAAAATATAATATGCAAGTAAACTTATTTTGAATTGACTATAAAAGTGTGGCAATGAACCAGTCATTCATGTTGCTTACAGAGATTTCCTCTGGTTTTTCAGGTTTTGGGTTTTAAGGAGCTGCCTGCTGTACTATGATATGCACAATATGTTTCTTCCACCATCTGAAGCTCCAATCAGAATGTGACAGTATGTGGTTTTCTCCTGTAACAAAGCACCTGAGCTAGGAAGGCAGGATTTTAGCCTGTTCTCCAATGCTCCAGTCCACACGTTCCTGCACTGCAAAATCAGCCCTTGGACAGGTGCACAGAAATGACGACAAAGCACAGTTTGGCAAAGGATCATCAGGAGAGGTGACTCTGGAAGGAAGAGTTACAACTGCACAGCATTTCTATGTGAAGACTCAAACACCATCAAAAGAGAAATAGGCTGCTGCAGAAGAAAGGCCATATTTCCTTCAGAAAATACTGCAGTTTTGTATCTCATTAATCCTCTTCAAAATTGTGACAGAGGACCATACTTATGAATTAGTACTACAAGAACTGATATTTGCCGATTTTGAGACACAGTAGGTTTGGGGGATTTAAATAGCTCTTAACTGAGAAAACAGCCAGTATCAGAAATAAATAGTATTGTGAAAAACAAGGTCAGGAGAGTTTCTAGATTCCCTCTCCTTCCAGAGCTCGTATCAATCTTCTGTTCTAGTGAGAAAATCCAACCATATGTTTTCCAAGTTTAAAAAGAGCAGTATAGCAGTGATGTAAATAATGTGCAAAATGAGCAGGACTTCCTGGCCAAAGTAATTCAGCCTCCTGGATAGCAGCAAATTTTTATAGCTGTAGTTTCTAAACACTGTCTACATAACATCAGAAACAAAGAAAACTGCAAACACAATGACTTGATGAGCTAAACACCAACTCTCTAAGGAGATATGCTATATAAAGACCAAAACCAACCACCATTACTCACCTAATGTTAAGGTAGGTAAGCATTTGTAGGTTTTTAATAGATTCTGGAATGGATTTGATGCAGTTGTGATACAAATTTAAGGTTTCCAGTGGTGCAAACAGCCAGATATCAGGAGGAATTTCAGTAAATCTGTTCTTGGAAAGATCTAGAAGCAAACAGGAAAAAAAAATTCCTTTTTTAGTCAAGACTTTCCCTGCAGTAAGAGCAGATAAAAGTACCCACTGTTATTCTTGTCATGCTCCTAAAAATTTAGGTGTTGCAAGAAGTGTAAAATAATTCAGTTTTACCAGATGCTACTGCATATAATTAATACACAAAAATGTCTTAAAATACTAAAAGATTATTGTTCAATATGCAATTACAACAGAAAGCAGAAGAGTGACAGGAATTCAAAAATACATTTCCTACTACATAGTTACAGTTATAATGACACTGAATATCAATTATGATTGTCCCTTGTCTATCAAGTCTTTGTTCTGTGCAATTCTTGGGTTTCTTCCCCTCCAACTGCAGGCACAACAGTAAATCAAGGTACAAACCCAATGTTATTTCTCCTGTTTGACAGCTACATTAGAATCCAATGTCACTGTACAATGTATCTGCAATGCTAAAGCCAAGTTCCCAAAACACCCTAACACAGTAACTAACATTCTCCAACTACACATTTGTAACTTAACTAAAAAGAGGATAAAGTTACAAAAACCAATGCTGCAGATATTTATCTATAAAAGTCAAGATGCAATCTATTCTAGCTTAAAAGCAGAAAGAGGAGATATCATTGACCATGGAAACACAATTCTTGAGCTAGAGTTATTCTCACAATGCATGACTGCATTATGCAAATCTGCATGCAGGAGTTATGACCAAACAGAGCATTACCAAAATGCACAGCACCTCTGACTATATGAAATCTTGAAAAGAACCAGAAAATACAAATGAAATGTGACCCGAGAATTCTGGAAATTATCAGCTAAACTGGTAGCTAAACTACCAAAACCTGTGCCATCAAAAGTCCACCAAACTACCCTGAAAGAAAGAGATATGGAGAACACCTGCCTAGTCTTCTGAAAGGAACTCTGGTTGCCAACCCAAGACATTTCAAAAGGATGTGGTTTCTCAGAAATGCTGAACAAACTCTTTTGACAGAGAAGTAATACAGATCCCTTGCTATTTCAGGCTTTAGTTCTCAGTTTTTAACACTCACATGTAATAACTGTTTCTGCTTAGCTCCCATCACATTATCACTCGAACAAACAGTCCTGCAAAAAGTCTAGAAAATTGGCTCCAAGTCATTGTCAGGCTCAAAGAGAGCTCAACAATCTGAAGTTTAACTGGGAAACCAGCAACGAGCAGCATTTCTCAGAGCCCACACTGGAGTCAATACTGCTTAGCTTCTTCACCACCAACCTGGCAAACAGGATAGAATATGCCTTCAGGAAGTGCACAGACAGCACCCAGCTGGAGAGCCAGGCCCTCACCTGGCAAACACCCAGTATGAATAAAAGCTCACCTGTGGCAGATCCCTGCTCACACCAGCATGAGCTGCAGGACAGAAAGGTGGAGGAAAGCTGTGCAGAGAACACCCCATGATGCTGCCACACAACAGGCTGAATGCAGGACACCAGGGTAGTGAGCAGAGGGAATGGCCTCCACACTGTTCTGCAGGTGACCAGCAAACAAAACGGACTGGTACAATGAAATACCATCTTCCTGTGGAGTTATTTTTGGCAGTAGCTTTAACTTTACTTCTTAAAGTCCAGAATATGTGAATTTTTGTGTGATATCTGGCTGTTGCTCTAATATTTCTAAAAAACATTCCCAAGCTTAAGTATCACAAACTCTTCCTATAAATCAAGGTATCCACTACTGATACAGAATTCTGTAAACTCTACCTGCAAGAGGCAGAAAAATATGTTCCTTGGTTGAAGGAGTGGCATTCCTAATGAACTGTGAGAAAAATGGAACTAAAACTGAACATCTCACCAAAACCTGAAAAGCTTATTAAAAAAATTAGCATGCTTGAGAAAGTTTTCACAACCAGTGAAGTTCATTTTCTGTTTTCCACTACATCAGTTTTCAAAATGTTACAGAAGAATGACAGCTTTCAGATGAAAGTTTTCTGCAAAACCGTTCTTAAACAAATGCTCTCCTGTTCTAATATTCAGCAGAGTGTGACACCTGCATGCAGAAGAGATGCCCACAGTTTTATTGCTGGCCCAGTTCTACAACCTCCACCACATGCTGAACTCTTGGATACAACTCCATTCTGAAAAAAAAAAAAAACCAACAGCTTTAAGCCTCTTCCTGATTTGGTTTTATCAGCAGCTGGAAAGGTGACTGAAGGCTGGTACAAAAATCTAGTCCATGAAAGAAATGACAGAATCCCACCCTACAGCCACTTGGTCCCAGGAGCAGCACTGTAGGTTAGACCTGAAGGAGAAGGCTCATGGGCACCATGAAAATTTTGCTGCTGTATTTGCTTCCAGCCACACCTCAACCATGCATCTGGGAAAGTTTAAGGTTAAAAAATAGCTGTACTATTTCTTCTGCAGAAATAAAATCTAGAGGCAGGCCAGACAACAAGCAGAGGATGTACCAACCCTCTGCCCTGGACGAGTGGACAAGAGGTTTAATACTGCACAGGGAACATAAACCAGCTGTGGTTTCCAGGCTGGCCTGGCACAAATCACATCAGCACAGTTTGGCTGCAGCCCCTCGATGTGCCCTCGTACAGAACCCATACAGCTGCACGTCAAAATTCATACCAAGGTCACTTTATTTGTGTACTACTGTAGAAACCACTTCTCAGGAGACAATGCCTTTGAAGACACTGCAGGGCAAGGATTACACCTTTTTATTATGAAACCCAGAAATCCTGTTAAAATAGGAAATGACACCCACTATCTCTCAACAATAAAATAATTTAAAAAAAATAAATAAATAAAGAGGTGGGAGACAGCACAACTTCTATTCCAAGCAATTTCTCATTCCATGATTGCAAAACAGCATTAGAATAACTCCAGGTGTTGGTTCAGATTTTTATGAAGAGAAAGATTAGAGTGTCTATAGTTTTCCATAATATTCTCATATTGAATGTACTTGCAACTTTTTAAAATCAAGTAAAGCTATTTTTATCCAAACTAAAGAATGATTTCTACTCCAAAGCCGTTTTCATAACAAGCAAAAAGTTTATGAGATAGTATTGCCTATTACGGTAAATGAAATGTAGATGTGAAACTTATGTAATTTAGGTACTTTTTGAAGACTAATAATACAACAGATGACCAAGAAAAAAAAACAAGACAGTTTCTATCTCACTTGAAATGAAAGCAGGCTGCTAGCACTTGACAATGGCTTTGTAAGGGTTAATAGACTGGAGAATCAAGGAAAGCTGCAAAATGCAGAACCACAGATGATTTAGGCTGACAACTCCTCTAGAAGTGAGAATATAGGAATACTTTCCTTAACCAGTTCAGAGAAAACTCTCAGTGGGAGTGTTATGTGAGGACTAAAGAGAAGACACTATTCATGCCTGCTCATGAATCACAGGGTATTTCAATACACTATCTCTGCAGGAACAATGAAAGTGAGAAGTACACCATTACTAAGGTTAAATCTGAAAGAGGAACTAGAAAAATATGAAGAAGTTGGTCGCCCTTTAGGTTTCTGACAGAAAAAGTAAAGTCTTTATTTATTATAAGACAGTGATTAAAAAAAAAACAATATATAGAAAGATCAAAAGGAAAGAATTTTAGGAAATCAGTCTGGAAAGGAAGCTATAAAAACTGAGAAGTTATCTTGTATAAATTTAAGCCATGATTAAGAGGGAAAAAAAAAAGCTCAAACTGTCAGATTACAGCAGTGTGCAGCCAGGTATCTAAGTAGTATTAATATCACATTTGCCTCGGTTTTGCACTTTTCCCTGAGCAGCACTGCTTACCATTAGGAACATGATGATACAATGGACCAGTCTTTTATGTAAACCAGTACAATCATTTTATATTCACATATTACATATGCTAGATGTTGAATTTGAAATACAAGGCTACGAAATTTACACCGAACCTCATCTTGATAGAATAATATTTTTCATAAAAATATGTTGCTGATCCAGCATATTGGTGTTAGGCTTTTGTTTGCTGCAAATGGTATTAAGAAACTAGATCATAAAACCCCCACATTCCTCACCCCACAAAACCCAGAACTGCTCTCCAAACTCATCACAGATAGATTTTCCTAGCCAGCTTTTCTAGCAATGCTTGAGTCTAAGCCAACCAAAGTCTAAGAACAGTTGTAGCTGTAAAATTAGTCCTACAGAAGACAACAGATGCTTAAAAACAAGTGCTCAGACCTGATCCCAAAGACAACCTTTTAGTCCATCTAAACATAAATCTGAGATCACCACACAGCACATGGGTAAAACTCATTTGTCTGTCAGATGCGAGATATTCTGGAGAAGAAAAGAGTAGCCTCAAACACTACAGAAACACCTGCATGTGGTATCTCCAGGAAGCTCAAGCTGTCCATGTCCACAAACAACTGACTGAAGAAAGTTTTGTCACACAAACAATGAAATTGGTTTGTTCATACTAAGTGCCATTTCTGTGGTTTGTCACAGCAGACAGATCTCTTCCCACCCTGATTAGTTTCTCAACAAATTGGAGAAGGAGCCTCAGGAGAAAGAAACTCTAAAGCTTCCCAAGCTGACTTCAAATGGGATATTGTCCCCCTAGCATTTCCCTCAAACTCTACACAGCAACTTATAGTTTCACAGTTCCAATCTTAATGCATGAGTAGTGTTGTTAAACACAGAAATGTTTTAAAATTTTCCCTTCAAAGGAAAAAGAAAAATAAGCCTGGATAATTAAATAATAAATATCAGAATTCTTTAGACTTATGTTGCAAAATAAAGTACTGAACAATTAAAATACATCCAGATGATTTCTCATACTGATATAAACAGCAACCATTTCAGTTGCAAAGGAGACCAAAATTTTTGAACTTCCTGTCAAAGAATGTTCAAGAATTACAGCACCATAAGTCCATGTGAGTGTGAATTTCACATACAAATCAACATTTGCTCTCCAATATGAAGAAGCTACAGTGAAGGACAACATAGAACAAAGCGAGGACCCATCAGCTCTT